GGTCTCGAACTCACAGGCTCAGGCAATCCACTCACCTCAGCCTCCCAAGGCACGGGATTACAGACTGAGCCACTGAGCCCGGCTTGTTTTTTTTTGAGTTGGAGTCTCACTTTGTTGCCCAAGCTGGAGTGCAGTGGCGCTCTCACAGCCACCACTGCCTCGACCTGCTAGGCTCAGGTGATCCTTCTGCCTCACCCTTCCAAGTATCTAGAACAACGGGCCAAGTGCCACCATGTCCAGGTAATTTTTTGATTTCTTGTAGAGATGAGGTCTCACCAAGTTGCCCAGGCTAGTCTCAAACCCATGGGTTCAGGCGATCCTCTCACCTCGGCCTCTCAAAGTGCTGGGATGATAGGCGTGAGCCACAGTGCCCGGCCTGGTGACTAACTGTATTCCAAAGGAATGGCTTTTTGGGTCCTGAGCTGTAGTAGATACATATACATCTCAAAGGGACAGAGAGAGAGAATTTACAATTATTTTTTGAGTTGAGGTTTCACTCTGTGCTCTGTCCCAGGCTAGAGTATAGTGCCACGATCATGGCTCACGGCAGCCTCAACCTACTGGGCTCAGGCGATCCCGTCTCCGCCTCACTTGGAAAGTCTGGAATCAATGAAAATCTGGATCACTGCCCCCCCATTTCAAAAAATTACTGTGGAAGATGAGATGATGTCTCTGTGGGTGTCCTCTAAGCTACAAAGTGCTTTATAATGTTAATTATTAATGCTAATTCAGAGTATGAGCGATCCAAAATGCTGTATGTTGGGAGAGTTGGACTCCGGTGAGAAAAGTAGCGATTCAGCACCACAGCTAAGCTCTGGCACAAGAAACCATGGGCCATACAATGCCTGAGCTGACAAGGACAATGAACTTCATTCAACAGGCAGCAGAGAATGCCAGGGGTCCAGGAGCCAAATAGTCAGACGTCCTGGCAGGGAAGACTGAAGAGGGCAGAAACAGCCCTTACAAGGAGGCAAATATGAGAGAATCCTGTTTTCCATCTAAGCCCTCCTAGAAGCTGAATCAAAGATACGATAAAGCAACCAGCTGATTCCCTCCAGGTTTTTGTCAGAGAGGAAGACTGCCCCCACGCCATGACACATGGGGCTGCTCCCGGCTTGGATGGGTGGCTGCATAGCCCCGAACGCAGTGCTGACTGTGTGGACTGGACCATTGTTCTAGCTGGACACTGAGGGGCCAGGAGATTTCCTCTTGAAAGGCATGTCCAAACCAGCTGGCCATGACATGCATAGAAAGATCACATTGAAGCTGGGCGCAGTAGCTTACGCCTGTAATTCCAGCATTTTGGGAGGCCGAGGCGAGAGGATTGCTGAGCCCATGGGTTCGAGACCAGCCTGGGCAATACGGTGATACCTCATCTCTACAATAAAGTAAAACACACAAATTAGCTGGGTGTGATGGCACATTCCTGTAGTCAGCTACTTGGAAGGCTGAGGCAGAAGGATCGTCTGAGCCCAGCAGGTCGAGGCTGTGGTGCCGTGACCATGCCACTGCACTCCAGCCTGGGCTACAGAGTGAGACTCTGACTCAAAAAAAAAAAGCCAAACAAGAAAGATCCTATTGAGTCAGAAGACAGAGACTGGACATGACATCTGCCTTATCTGCAGATGTGGCAAGAAGACGTAAAGATTGACCATAGAGGACATTTTGTTTTTCTACCTTTTTAATTTTCCTCCCTATAAGGCCAGAGACATATCTTTCTGGGTTTAGGCTCGTGACCATATTCACAGCAAACAGTTCAGTCTCAAAGACTGAGGACCCTGTTTTACAAAAGCAACCTGTTCTTCAGAATGTGAAATTGAGTCATTTGTTTGGAAAAAAACCACTGTTACCCAGGTAAGCTTTTAAAAATGTATTAGAATTCATTGCTTTCTGCGTTAGGAACAATGAAAGCAAGAAACCTTGCCAAACCAGAAGGTTGAGGACCGGCCACGGTATCATCTCATCGAGACCGTAAAAACAATACAAACACAAACTCCAGAGGTTAAATTCAGGCGATTTATTGTAAACAGGATAACCCTAGCACTCCACCATACTGGCTGTGTCACATGCTCCCTCGCTCACATCAACTAGCCAAAGAGACTCTGTAAAGAAGTCCCAGGTAACCCGTGACTTGGTTTCACAAATCTCAATGCCCAAGCACTGAGGAAAGGGCAGTTCTGGGGGTAGTCTGTTATTGCTCAAGGACTGCAGCTCAGACCCATCTACATGGATCTGGGAGTATGCCTGAGTGATCCACAGCGGCTCCAGGGCTATGTGGAGGCCGGAGGAGGCCAGAACACAGAACAGTAATCGAGGCTCAGGGAAGCCCACAGGAGATTGCTGTCAGATCTCTCCACGTGCCCTTCTTGTGAAAATGACACTTTTAAATGTCACTCCTTTTCAAAAAAGAGCAAGAAGTCACTCAATAGCACGTAATTTTCCACAAAAACCTAGGTGGATTCTTATTTTCTCAAACAGCGGTGGATCTAGACACTCAGGCTCATCTGAGATCTGTCCTGCAAGTTTCTGCAGTTTGATGAAAAGCTGCATAGTCTACGAATGCATAAGACCAGAAGGAAGTGAGCACTCAGGACCTTCCGGTGGACAAAGACAGGCTTCATACAAGGAGGTCTTGAAGGTAGGGACAGAAAGACGGTAAAAGCACCACACTGATCTGACGGTTGGGAGGGAGCCCCGCTTTGGAAGCAGCCCCCAGAGTTGTGACTAGATTGTTCTTGCCCCAAGTTGAGATTATTTGGAAAATGGCAAATGTAAAAACTTAAAATGTGAAGACATGGTTCTACAGAAAAATGTCCTGGCAAACCAAATCCTACAGGGAGGTAAAGTGTCATCCGAAAAAGCCATTCCTTATTGTGCCTGAGTTAGGGGACAATGGGGCCACTTACTGTTACTAGTGCCTGTATGTGGAAATATATTCATAATTTCTCTGGAAGCAAGTTTTAATAACAGTAAATATTTTAAAACAGCTGTTAAATCTACAGTTAGAGTTTCACATAAAATAGTATCTCATGAAAAAAATATTTTTTAAAAGTCCACTCCAGTCATCATCCGTGTTTATATGTTTATATCTATATAGTCAAAAAATAACTTAACACTTAAGGCAAGATTAGACTGGTAGCAACAAGGGACATCAGAGTCTTACGGAGACTTGCTATTTAAGAATGCAAGGCTTTATTTTTCATACCTCCAAAAAGGTGGCTTTGTATTTGTTCCCTTTTAAATTCGTAAGTGGGCAAAATATTTTGGTTCGCATACTGACTGCGGTTTCACCCTAGCAAAAAGTTACAGGTGCTTACACAGCTGATGTTGGAAAAGCATGTCACACACTCAGCAGGATCTGAAGTTGACCCTATTTGTACTTGTTAAATAAGTACAGCCACATGTGGATGAGAAAAAGTAAAACTGATGAAACACTGCAAACCAACTATGAACAACAAGAATGTCAATATAATTCCATCAGAATGAAACCACAAGAATCCTGAGAAATTCAGTTTACGACAAAATTGATGTAAGGTAAATCTGTATTTCTAGCACTGTAAATAAGTAGGGTGTTCTAGGTTTTCTAGTGTTTCACTAGTTGGAATAAAAAACATGTTCAAATTTTATAAAAAGATTAAAACCATGCCTTATATAATCAGCAATTTCACTAATAAAAGAAAATTACATTGCTTTTGTTCATTGTTTGCCAAATGTAATGTTCTCCATTGATTTACATGAAACCATCAAGTAGAAAGCAAATCTGAGGATCAAGTTTTAAAAAGGTATGACCTCTCTAAATGTTATAAAGCCCTCTATGCCAACCTAGGAGGCTTTTAGAAAAAAGCTAACTTTTATTTTCTTCAGACAAGTGACTATTTTACAGAACAGGGAAGAAGATTCTATAGGAATATCATTTATCGCTTTATGTACTGTTATATAAGGGATATTTCTCTTAGTAATGAAAAGAAACATTTTAAAATATTTAAGAGGCATGTATTTTTAAAATATTCTACATCTATAAGATTTTTGTAATTTATTTACTTTGGATTTTTAATATTTCTACATAATGACACCTGTCAACTTCTTTTTTTCTGGATGTCTCTCTAACAGTGAATCGGGAGCAATTAAAGTGGCCGAGAGCACTTTCCTAGGCCCTGGAAGACTCAGGAACGCATCCACGCGCACTTCCCACCGGGGCATCTTCAGAGTTTTGCAGCCATGAAGTTAATGTGCGGTTTTACGAGGGGAAACAGCGGCAGACCACGCTTGAATTCGGTCATGTTCTGAATCACTTCAGGCTGAAAGAAAAAAGTTTCCTTTTAGTGTTTTTAACCCAAAAATCAGACTGAACAAGGACATCCATTTTTTTCCCCAGGGAACTATAGGTAAACCTGAGTTCCTACCCATTGTTATTGTTGTTTTTCATTTTGGCCCAAGGTCACTCTGCCTGAGGCTCCATAGACTGTGGTCTGCTGACCTTTCTTCTGATCAGTAGGGCCAGAGGATTATGAACTGGCCTATGCAAATGATAGTGAATGTCCTCTGTGGGACTCTGGCCCAGGAGGAAGACTCTTGGCTTTCCTCTGGGCAAACAAGGCTGGCTCACCAGGAGCTCAGCACCAGGGCTTCGGGAGGGCAGCAGAAGATGGCATGCCCACCCAGCAAAGGCCTGGCTGAACTGCCAGTTTTCTCCTCCTGCAAGTGAAGGCCAGTCTTTCTAGATGATTCCAATATGCAGGCAACATGGAAGGGGCCCAGAGGCCTTGCTCCAGTATTCAATGCTGGGGACAGCTGTGACCAGAGCTGACTCACTGTCGAGTCACAGAACTGTTCTAACCAGAGGCAAAGGCAGAGGAGGGCAGTGGTGGAGTGACCAGGTATTCCGGGGGAGCTGGAGGAGGCACGCCAACCCTGGTGTTAGCCCTTGGTGACCCGAACGCTGGAGTCGTGAGTCCTCGTGAATGAGCCCCTTCCAAGTAGGAGTCCTCTGACGCTGTAATCTAACATCATATTTACGTTTCTTACTTGTGGCAAGGCTGGTGCTTGTGACAAATTTATATCGTTTTGACACGGGAACTCTCCAACAACAGGACCTATAGGAAAACAAAAGGATGAATACTTTGCCCTTACTGATACCAGCACACAGGAGCAACTTCCAAAAAAAATCGAAGCTAGACTCAGTTCATGGGAAACAGTACCAGGTGCAGTCTACGTGCTTCTCAGGTCCTCCCAAGCTGCCTGGCTCCCTGAGGCATTGCGTGCTTGTCCCACCCTCTCTCCGCTGTCCCCAGCGACGGCTCACGATGTTACTGAGGTCATCAAACTTTGGCTGCAGCAGTTTCAGTGCCCAGGTCTGATCTGACTCTCTGGCCACCCAGGTCAGGGACTAACGGTAGCGGGGAGACAGCAGGACTGGGAAGATCAACCGCCCACCCGCATGCCCTCAGCAGTGGTCCTCACACCTTCTCTGCAGATGCTCCCTAATGGTGTTTTCTTGCTGTGAAGCGGTGTCTGGCTTGCACCGTGCCACCTGTGACTGGTCCTCTCCATCACCGCCTCAGTTCCCTTCCCCCCTATTTTTGCTTCTGAAGAGCAGACCTGTCCTCCAGTCCCCTTTCTCCACTCCTTTTACCTTCTGGTGTTCTGGAAGGCAAGGGTCCCCAGTCCCCAAGGGCCACAGGCCTGTGCCAGTCCGTAGCCTTTTAGGAACTAGTCCGCACAGCAGGTGAGTGGAGCGCCACCTTCTGTCAGATCAGTGGCGGTGTTAGATTCCCATAGGAGTGCAAGACGGGCTGTGAACCGTGCATGCGAGGGATCTAGGCTGTGCATTCCTTATGAGAATCTAAGGCCTGATGATTCCTGTCTCGGTGGGAACTGTCTTCAGGAAACTGGCCCCTGATGTCAAAAAAAGCTGGGGATTGCTGCTATGAGGCCTGTAGCTGTGACAAAAGTCAGCCATCAGATGGCTCAAACTTTAACAAAAAGCCAATATTCAGTACTTACAAGAATCCATTTCCCTGGCAAGAACATGAACCGACACCTTATGTCTCCTTGGGGCGTCTACTGCCAACATTTCCTAGGCAGAAAGAAGAGAAAGGTCACCCCTTTGCCCCACTAAAGGTTCAACTTAAAATGAGGTGCTCTTGACTACTATGAAGAATCAGCTAGGACACAGTCAGACACAAATAAGATACTTCCCTTTCTTTCCCTTCACTTACGTTATTGTATTTAAACTCTACAAAAATCTGGCAAGGTAGGCAAGAATTATTCTTTTTTTTTTTTGAGTTGGAGTCTCACTCTGGCTGGAGTGCTGTGGCATGACTATATTATATATATAGTTTTTTTTTTTTCTCTTCCTTGAATCAGTGTCTCTGTTGCCCAGGCTAGAGTGCAGTGGCATGCTCACAGTCACTGCAGCCTCAACTTGCTTGGCTCAGGCAATCCTTCCACCTTCTTCCAAGTAGATAGAACTATAGGTGTGTGCTAACATGCCTGGCTAATTTTTTGATTTATTGTAGAGACGAAGCCTCGCCAAGTTGCCCAGGCTGGTCTCAAACCCCTGGACTCAGGAAATCCTCTTGCCTCCACCTCTCAAAGTACTGGGACGTGAGCCACCACGCCCGGCTGACTTCATATATTTTTAACAATAATAGGTGTTTATGTTGAAGATACTTAAAGTCACAGAAACACCTTCACAAATCCAGCCAGCACACAACATATAGGTTCAAAGCAGCAACATACAATATAGCACATACACTACTTCTTTACCAGTCAAAATCTAAAAACAGGAATTCAACTTACCTTGTAGAATCTGATGATATCTTCCTTGGTAAGTGTCTTTAAATATGCAACTTCCGTATTATCTGAAAAATCAACAATAATTTTCTAACGCTTCCATATTAAATAGCCCAGAACACTACACTAAATGACAGTACGTTTTACTCCAAAATTCTTAAGTATTCATATTTTATTTAGTGTTAGCACTATGCTCCTTCTTGCCAGAAGAGCGGGGCAGACATCTGCTCCTAAAAGCAAGAAGGGAACAGACTTTGAGTAAAAGCAAGGGGATACGGTGCAATGGGCAAGAACTTTGGTCCAGGAGCCACGTCAGCCTGGGCTCATATACTGGCTCTCTGCTCACGAGCCACTGGACCTTGGGCTAGTCCCTTCAACTTTTCTGAGTCTGTTTCCTCATCTAGAAATTGAGGACAGTAACTACTTAATGAGGCTGTAGTGAGAATTAGGAAAACAATGTATGAGGTAACACAATGTTAAGAACATGGTCAATGCTCAATAAACGTCAGACACAGACACTAGTAACAATAGTGAATCCAACTACAAGAAAAACTATAGGTAAGGAAACAGATCCAGAAAGAGATCTTCAGCTTGTTGGTGTGAGAATGAGAACACAACTCAAGACCCCTAACTTCTAAGACGGTTAAGTACACTCAGTTGTTAATCTCTGCTCTCCAAGAGAGGTGAGAGGAAGCTAATAAGACAGGAGATTGCAGGAAGTACAGCTCTTCCAAGCCTGAAGGCAGGGGCAAATCTCTGAGATCCCTAGAGGCAAATGTTCAGATTCCTGTGCCTCTAGGGTAGCATTAGCCTCAAGAGACTTCGATCTGCAAACTTCCCATTTTTTCAGTGTCACAAGAAATAGATACTTAGGTATCTGTACCTGCAATCTCAGGGATACACTGATAAAAAAAAAGTGTGAAACTGGATTTATTATGAATACATTATTGTGAGATACAGGTAGATCCAGGTCTAGTTTTAGAGAAGAGAGAGACAGAGAGAGAGAGAGACAGAGAGAGAAAGTGTCTAATAGGAACTTGTTACACCAAATAATGAGTGGTTCTGCCGGGCTCGGTAGCTCAGCCTGTAATCCCGCGCCTTTAGGAGGCTGAGGTGAGTGGATTGCCTGAGCCCGCAGGTTCGAGACCCGCCTAGGCAGCGAGACCTCATCTCTACAATAAATCAAAAAATCAGCCGGACATGGTAGCGCATGCCTGTAATTCCAGCTACTTGGAAGGCTGAGGCGGAAGGATCGCCGAAGCCTGGCAGGTCGAGGCTGCGGTGGCCGGGAGCAGCCACTGCACTCCAGTCTGGGCGACAGAGTGAGACGCCAACTCAAAAAAAAAAGAGTGGTTCTTTAGCAGTGCCAGTCACCCCCACCCAAATCCCCACAGAGTAGTGAAATATCACCTACAGAATACAGAATGCATCCCATTTTGTAGAATGGCCTTAATGTTCTCAAATGTTACTTAAACGTCATACATACTGGGGTCCTACTTTTACCTTACCTCTGTCAAAATTGTACTGCTGGGAGATGATTTCTCCCCAGTATTTAGCACACTCAGCAGACAGTTTCTTTGGTTTGTCTAGTCGACGAATTGCTAATGCCTGAATGTGTTTTTGGAAGGCCTCTTCTGTCATGTCCTCTATGGACTTTTCCATGGTAATTAAGAAAGCTTCCACTCTGCTTTCTAGGTAGTGAGGTGGCTTTTCTGATTGGATGATGAACCGTAAGCCCTGTATGCCATTGGCTCGACGTGGCCCACTGAAGACGATATAGCCTGAAACACAAACATCAGCCGGTCAGGACCTTGGCATTTGAGATTCATGTCACTTTTAATCTTCCAAAAACTATCCCATCAGAGCAAATACATCTATTTTAAGGTTTTAGATTATTCACCTCTGAAGAAATTATGAGCAGCTAAAATATAGTTGCAGTTCCTAAGGACAGAGCACAAGAGCTCTTTGAAGAATAGTTACAAATAGTTGGAGATGACTTTTTCTTCTTCTTGGGAAGAAAAACCCCTATTCATCATTCAAACTCACATCCCAAGACTCCACACTCTCTGCTAATCCCCTTCCATCTATGCTGAAGCTACTCCCTTTTCCTATGCAATGCTGGACTCACTTTCACCCCAACCTTCCTGTTTCCTTTAAGAACCAAGCTCCTTATATGAACCTGGCTCTCCTGTTATATATATATATATATATATATATATATATATTTTTTTTTTTTTTTGAGTTGGAGTCTCACTCTGTTGCCCAGGTTGGAGTGCTGTGGCACACACACGGCCACTCCAGCATCGACTTGCTGGGATCCGGTGATCCTTCCACATCAGCCTTCCAAGTAGCCAGAACTACAGGTGCACACTACCATGCCCGGCTACTTTTTACTCTTTACTGTAGAGACAAGGTCTTGCCAAGTTGCTGGGGCTGGTCTCGAACCTGTGGGCTCAGACAATCCACTCACTCTGGCCTCCCAAAGTGCTGGGATTACAAGCTGAGCCACTGAGCCCGGCCCCTGTTATATTTCTTATTAGATAATTCTTTTCGGGACTAATTCTATTCAGATCGCACTCTCTAGAGATCAAGGTCATACTTCCACTGTCATCTGCTGAGCCCATGCAATACCTCCCTGCGACACCTTTTCGATACTGAGCTCTGGGCTTGCCTGCTTCAGCTGCTCTGCCCTGACCCACCGTCTCCCACAGCTGTGTGCCTCTGGGCCCCACTTCTGAGGAAGTCATCGTCTTCAGCATCACAGCCTTTACTAGCTTGAACTCTTACAGTAACATTTCCACTCTGTACTATGATTATTTCTTTACAGATCTGCCATTCTGATTTGACCGTGAGCACCCTTAAAGGAAGGACCATCCACAATGCTATTTTCCCCGTCTAGCACCTAGCCTGGTGATTATTTAAAAACGACAGGTGGCCGGGCGCATTGGCTCCAGCCTGTAATCCCAGCACTTTGGGAGGCCGAGGTGAGAGGATTGCCTGAGCCCAGGGGTTCAAGACCAGCCTTGGGCAACTTGGTGAGACCTCATCTCTATGATAAATATAGCTGGGCTTGGTGGTACATGCCTGTGGTTCCAGCTGCTTGAAAGGCTGAGGTAGAAGAATCGTCTGAGCCCAGAAGGCCAAGGCTGCAGAGGCTCTGAGCATGCCACTGCACTCCAGCCTGGGTGACAAAGTAAGACTCTGACTCAAAAATAAAAAATTTAAAAAATAAAAATGGAAAACAACAGGTCCTTGGAGAGACTTGCCCAAATCCTTTCTCACTGGTTTTTCCCTGTCATTACTAGAGCTTCTCTGAACTTTTTTTTTCCTCATTGACCAAATCTGCCAGGATCTCTAAGACCTTTAACAGAAGCTAAAACTCTGCTAACACTTTCTGAGTATGTTTCACATGTCCCAAGCTTGGGATATCAAGATGGAACGCACAACGAACACACAGTTCGGTGAATTGAAGCTCCTCTGGGAAGCCTGCTTCCCACCTTGCTACCCAGAAGCCTGCCTGAGCACCCTCTCCCCTACCTAAAGTGGCCTCTTTATTCACATGTATGTAACGTCAGTATAGTGTCATCGCCTTAAGGATTTTTTCCCAGTGGACCCTGTCAACAGTTTTCTCAAGTCTTTCAACACAGCATGCCTTTACTAGCTTGAACACTGTGTCAGATGATTCCACATGTGAAAAACGTTTTCTGAGGACAACGGCCATCCATCCAGGTCTTCCCCCACTTCCCTCTCACCCAACTGCTCCTTGGTGCGCAGGGTGTTGAAGCAAGGCTCGGAGATAATCTGGCAGAAGAGTTCCAGAAACATATTCTCTGAGGTGCTCTGCATGTCTGTTTGGTAGTATATCTCGATGCCACAGTTATTGTGAACTTCATTCCTCTGCTGATAAACAAACCATCCTCCTAGAAAGATTCAATATGAGAGTAACAAGTTCAAAAACTTATTTAGGACTTAATCAAGTCAGTGTGATGTCTGCCCACTCACAGATGATAATCAGACATCTAGAAAAGGGAGGCAGAGAAACCTGGAGTTGTACTCAATTTACTTCACTTTTCTGATCAGGTCCAAGTCTGACCAACACTCAGGCTTTCTGATCATAAATTGGCAGCACTAAACTTCCTCTTCTCAGAAGAGGAAGGGAGCTGGCACAGTGGCATGTGCCCCTTAGCAGCTACTTGGGAGGTTGAGGTGGGAGGATCCTCTGAGCCCAGTATGAGATGAGCTAGGATCACACCACTGCACTCCAGCCTGGGCAACAAAGGGAGGGCACATCTTTTTTTTTTGAGTGGGAGTCTCACTCTGTCACCCAGGTTGGAGTGCCATGGCACGCTCATGGTCACCACAGCCTTGACCTGCTGGGCTCGGGGGATCCTTCCACCTCACCCTTCCAAGTAGCTGGAACTACAGGCATGTGCTAACACACCCAGCTAATTTTTTGACTTATTGTAGAGATGGGGTCTTGCCAAGTTCCCTGGGCTGGTCTCGAACCTGTGAGCTCAGGGAATCCTCTTGTCTCTCTGCCTCCCAAAGTGCTGGGATTACAGGCATGAGCCACTGGGCCCGGCCAGTCCCATTTCTTAAAATAAAAAAAAGCAGACGAGACAGGGGAACACGGGCTATAAGTCTCCCCGCCTCAACCTGCATACTTCTAGCCTTTTCATACATATTCCAAAATGTGTTCTTTATAATGCCTACAACTTTTCTTTTCCAACTGTAAATGCCTTTCCATGGAAAGTGAAGTGAAGGACTATTTAAGGCATTCGCATCTGATCAGGTAGCTAAATCAGAATGATTTCTTAACACCTGGCATTTTGAGAACTGGATGTGAACTGAGCTATTTTTAAACACGGAGCACTTCGGGAGTATACTTAGGAGGCAAAAGAGATAGGGTTCAGCCGGGCTCTGTGGCTCAGCCCGTAATCCCGCGCCTTTGGGAGGCTGAGGTGAGTGGACTGCCTGAGCCCATGGGTTTGAGACCCGCCTGGGCAGGCGAAACCTCATCGCTACAATAAATAAAAAAATCAGTTGGGCGTGGTAGCGCGCGCCTATAGTTCCAGCTACTCGGAAGGCTGAGGTGGAAGGATTGCCGGAGCCCAGCGGGTCGAGGCTGTGGTGGCCGGGAGCGGCCACTGCACTCCAGTCTGGGCGACCGAGTGAGACTTCAACTCAAAAGGAAAAAATAAGAGATAGGGTTCGAGGAGAGGAGAGAAGAGGAAGGAAGCACATGGAAGGGCATGAAGGGTAAGTTTCTCGTTGAAACGCTGTCTCTAGACTGGCCTCAAGGCTTGAGAACAAGCATTACGGCTCCTGCATGGCATATCGCGAGTCTTCCTCTCTATTCTGGCTGCTGCGGCTGGGGAACAACTAGAAGAAGTTGGTGACAGCTGGTTGTGCAGAAGAGCAGAGCTGTGCTCAGGGTACTTCTAAGCATTTGACAAGGGTAGCCTGAGGTAATGGCATGTTCAAGTTGCTTTAGTAGCTACTCACACAAGCCAGACACAGACCCCAGTTTTGAGGATTATACAGTCTAGCCAGAAGATGGAGAGACCCCAATGTTAATGCCAGAGCACAGGCACTGTGGCATCTCAACAGGGAGTGGCAGAGAAATTGTGCTGCGAGCTCAGAAGCAGAAGTGCTTCTTTCTTTTTTTTTTTGAGTTGAAGTCTTACTCCGTCGCCTAGGCTGGAGTGCAATGGCATGCTCAAGGTCACCCAAGCGTCAACCTACAGGGATCAGGCCATCCTTTTGCCTCAGCCTTCCAAGTAGCCAGAACTACAGGAATATGCTACCATGCCAGGCTAATTTTTTGATTTATTGTAGAAACGAGGTCGCACCAAGTTGCCGGGGTTGGTCTCGAACCCATAGGCTCAAGAGTCACCGAACCTGGCAGAAGTGCTTGCCTCTAGCTGAGAGTTTTAGAAAGAGTATTTAGTCAAGTCAGTGGCTTACAAAACAGGCCTGGAAGGAGAAGCGGGAGGTAGATATAGTTCCATGAGAAAGAAGGGGGAAGGGGAACACTGTTTCAGGAGGACAAAATAGCTGGGGAGAAAAAGGATTGTGACAGACGCATGGGGAACAGTCAACCATCGAGGTCAGCCAAAAAAA